AGTTAATGGGATTTCCTGTGTGTCTAAAAGGCTTCCTGAGCATCCTCAGTTTGGCTGCTTCTGAGGGCAAGGCCTTTGGCACTTACACAGGATTCCAGCAGGCTGAGCTCRAGAGCATTGAAGTTAGCAGATGAAAAGACTCAGAGCTGAAATAAGCAGTAAGAAGGCCTCAATTTTCTGCCAATTTTACTGGAATCAACAATCTCTTTAAACTAGAGATGAGGGAACATGTTATCAGCACAATTAAATGGAAAACAAATCCATTGTGCTATTTTGGGGAAAAAAAGAAAGAAAACATTTGCATTCATAAAGCAATTCTTCACCATTATAATTTGCTGCCTCAGGTTTTAGGTGGCTGAAGTTCAAAAATCAGTTAAATCAACTGACAACATTGAATCTGCCCTAGTGTCGGCAGTTAAACCTTCTAATAGTCACTTTTTTCCCTTTCATAATTCTTTTATAATGTGTTATTTTTGGATCAGTGACATTTTCTAAATGATTTGAGTCAGAAACCATCTGATTTTCGCAAATACCATTGTRCTGTGTCCCCTGCTTGCCACCCACTCCCCGTCTCCCCCCGCCCAAACAAGAGTCTGTCTTGGCGCAGAGCAGAGATGTTGTCTTTCCCCGTCAGATGATGTCCTCATTCATTTTGTCCTTATTGTAGTCCTGTTCCAATAACRCTCCTGCACTGACAAACTGCAGCTTTGTAGCTCCCAGGCTATCTGAGAAATGAATCCCAGGCACTGAGAAATGAAAAATTTAATGGACAGAGCACCAAGTGCCGTGCATGCCTTGCAGTCTTAAATACAGCGCAAGAGCTCAGCGTATTTTTGGGAGTTCCAAACATCACCTGGGCCTTTCTCTGTTTGGTTTCATTTTGGGGTCTGTCCTTAAAATGACTTTCAAGGCAGCACTCCCAGGGTGTGAGGTTCCCTGCAGACTCTACAGGACGGGGTTGGTTTTGTTTCAGGTTTTCTGCTCGGGTGCTTTGCGTGCCTGCAGAGGGAACACGGGGTAGCCGTTTTCTATCACAGTGATTTTATGCCATCACAGCCTTGGAATCACAACCTTTGGTGGGACAGGCCAGGAAAATGCAGTGTCAATGGTGCAGACAGATTTTAATGGATTGACCTCCAACTGCAATAAAGGAAGATTAATTGCCTTAGCCTAGATGTTYTAAATTATCTATATTATGGGTTTATATGAACGACTAATAAATTACAGGAAGGGAGGCAAGTTTAAAAAGGACAAACAACTCACAGCATGGGTATATTTCATCTTTATGGCCTAACTAAATATGTTTGAATTCATGAATGCCTTGTACTGATTTCAGCTCCCACCCAGCTAGACAAATGCAAGCAAAAGGGAKACAATAAATGCTTCCAGAGAAGCTCTTTTGTAAAAGAGACAAAAACTTTTTTCTTCTTAGTTTTAGTTATATAAGTRTTCTACAACTTAATATACCTTAAATGGGAAAAGATTTTTTTTATTCCTGTAGCTCGTATCTGCTGATTATCCAGCTGGTTTGCTCTTTTGAGCTCAACTTGCTGTGTAGTGCTCTGCTTTTTGAGTTCCTGAGACTTCCCATACAAATCTGTGTATGGATTTCCTCTATCATCTTTAGCAAATGCAAACCAAAGTAGTTTCCTTGTCACTTTATTTTGCAGAATATTGTTAATTTGTAAGCATTCTTGAGAAATATTGAAATATTTTTTAACAATTCCTGCCATTACCATTTTAAAATCAAAATGAAAATTTCCCACCTTATTTAAAACTTTATAAGAATTCCAAAAAGCTACACGTTAATCTTTAAAATATTCTAATGAGCACTATATATAAAATCAGAATTATGGAACTTTTTAAATAACATGAATTTTGTGTTTCTTTTCTATTTAAATCTGCAGTTTCATATAGCCTGAAATAGCATGGTAAAACTTTTTTTTCTGGTGTTTAGATAAATGCAGTGTGGCATTACTGTGTTTCTGGAAACCTAAAATCCCACTCCAGCATCTTGAAGTAGAACCAGTAGCTGAAATGACACAAGAAAAACACTTGAATTAATATTTAAAAATCTATTCCTTTTGGAGACTCTACATAGGCATAGGAAAATATCAGAGATTTGAGAGGTGTGTTAACCTGTGAATAAATATCCTGTTAGGGATTTGAACCAACATTTTGTAATTGTCCCTTTGTCTAGGGGTAAGAAATATGGAGTGTTCATTGATTCTGATATTTGAAGGTTTTTCTTTTAGGATCAAGTACCTCTGAAAGCCTATAGAGGGGTTTCTGCAGTTAATTCTATGGAACATTTTACCAGCCTTTAGCAGAGAGAATATAAACAACCCCCACAACCACACCAGCTACTCATCTCAGTATTGGAGATTTCTTATTTTAAAGCAAGTATCCAAACGSTGTAAAAGGATCAATAATTTCAATGATGTGAAAAGATTTCAAAGTGAGAGGTCATCTGATGTAAAAGAATTGTAAAAGTATGGATGTTTCCCTTTATTGGTAAAATTTCCACACCATGGGTTACATGAAGCTTATATACATATTTTTTTACATTTGGGGATGTATCTTCAAGATACACCCCCTGGATAAGAGCTTGAAATTAATTTTCACTATTTTTTTCCTTTTTTTCTTTTTTTTTTTTTTTTTTTTTTTTTTTTTTTTTTGCTATATTGTTCTTTTCTTAATACCAGTTTCTAAGGTCTAGGTCTAAACTGTAGCATTTGTTCATAATGTACTTTTTTCTTCCCCCTCCCCAATATAACTTAAGGAATTACGTTGCTGTCACTCATTGGGCTGCTCATTGGACACCAACTGAAGGAAGCTAAGGCTGGTAGAATTRCAGTTACTSTATCTGAGRCTGTTTCCAAAGTAAAAGTGCMATCAAAATGATTCTGTAGAAATYTGTAGGAGGAAAGTTTWGRGTTTTTTTTMWTTKKTTKSYTTKTTAGGGTTTGTTGGGTTGGTTGATTTTCAAGAGCCCAGACAACAGAATCAGGAGGAATGAAGGGATTACTTTAAAATTAAAATKACAATTAAATTTAGGTTGCATGCCGATTTCCCTTTTCATGTGAACTCCTGTTTACTGTTCCATTATTGTTCAATTCTATCAGCCTTCCATCAAGGGATCACCTTTGGCTCGGTGCAGCCTGTGTCACTCAGGTCCAGTGGAGCATGTTTGTGTGTCTGGATGTTCACATATTCGAATAACAAATACAGAACACTTGGAGCACCCTGCAAACCAGAATCCCAAATGCCATAAAAAGCTCTGAAATTGCATCCATCACTTCTCATTTTTCAACATCGACAAGACTTTTGGCCTTCATCTATTACATAAACTCACCAATCTCTTCTCTGGCTGTACAGTCATTACAAGATAAAGAGATTTGAGATCCCTATTTTCCATTTCACCTTTCCCTGACACATCCCCAGTTTAATCTTCCTGTTGCTTAGTTATTGCAAAAATGGGCAAAACCAACTACTGTGAAGATAAGTATGCTTTCTTCTGAAAGAAGATATATTACAACATAGAAATGAACTCAAAGCTCCCAGATTACTGCTAGAATATGAAATAATTCAGCTTTAAAAGGATGAGTCTTCCCGAGTCCACAATTTCCTAATGGATAAACAAAGAAAAAAAAAAGGGAAAAGACTGAAAAAATCAGTTGGCCATAAATATATTTGTTTGCTTTTTCYAAATAGCCAGTGAAAAAGCTAATTTGTTAATTGCCCAACTCAACCCATGGCCAGAGCCCTCTCCATTGTCTTGGTGGTTTTTGCTGCTTTTGCAAAGAGAGAAACTTGAATTTCCTTGATGTCTAGGGGTTTTAAAAAAGAGAAAGCAGGAAAGAGTTTAGGGTTATATCTGTGTGTTTTGGCTTTGCTTTTAAGTGTCAGTTCTCCATCTTGGAGGTGATTTCTGTTAACTCACCAGGTATTTTCCTCAKCATCTGGTGCATATAGCTAAATAATAGTTACAGAAATTACCTTGCATCTGAGTTTGCTGTAAATGTGAATATTCCTTGGTGCAGTGCTCCCTCCTGCCTGGGGGAGTACATTCCTTAAATTGAAATTCATTTAGCCATCACCATGGCATTACTGATGTAGGAGTTCCAGTGACAAAACATTCAGATTGTGCCTGCAGGAAGAAAGCACAATTCACAGGCATAGCAAGGCTAAGCCTCTTACATTTCCACTTCCTTTTTATTTTGGGTCTTTGTGCTTTCCAATCAGTAGGGGATGGATGGTGAGAGGGATGTAAATGGAAAGGGTTCAGAGTTAGACAATCTGGTGATGAGTGGTGTGTCCTCTCCTTAAAGTGCCTTTTTGTGTGATCTTCTCYTCAAGACCAGATATCCAAATGTGCAACAGCTGCATTCAAAAGACAGATTTTTTTCAGAAAAAACTTCAGATCCCATTTAAGCATAGCTAAAGCTGGTTAAATTGAAAAGAGGTAGAGACTTTTATCAGTGATTAAAATGTAGAAGTTGATGTTTTGTCTACAATGTACAGAACACAGAAGTAGTTTTTGGTATTGTTCTGAAAACATGAAGTGAGAAGTTGACCAGGAATCAAATGTTCTCACCCACCCTTCTGCTTCCCTTTGTGTCTTGTCAAGTTGGGTTTCTCTCAATGTCCTTTCTCTTGCACTGGAGCTTTGCAACTGAAAGCAATCCCTTCAAAAGTGTCTGAAACTAATTATGCTGACAGTTGAATTAATCAACACATCAAAAATATTTTGYAAATTGCCTTTTTATTTTGGTGTGTTAATTGGAGGCATGTCTGTAAGYGTTGGCTCTCTCCTCAGCGCACGTCACTTTTCTGTGATATTCAAATGCTGATTATTGGGATTTTGTTAGTGGCTTTTGACTAATACCATTCATAYTGGAAGTGTGTTAAATAATTTCTTTTTATAGATAAAAGGAGCTGAATGGATGTGAGAGACAAACCAAATTAATTAGGCGTGCTTTTTTTCTGTTCYAGTGAACAAACACAAACCCTGGATTGAGACGTCGTACCATGGAATCATAACGGAAAACAACGACACTGTSATTTTGGATCCTCCCCTGGTGGCTTTGGATAAAGATGCCCCTGTTCCCTTTGCAGGTAGGAATGGACATTTGCAGCAGCATTTSAGCCTGTGGAGTGCATTTTGAATTTGTGAGCATTTGGAAGGAAGGAATTTGCAGCGGGATTTGAGGGACACGTGTAAAGGCTGTGTCTGAGTGCTCAGGACTCGGCTGTTGGCCCACAGGTGTTGGAATGAGGCATCTCCTACACTGAATTTGTTGAGAAGCAGAACAGAATAAACAGAATAATRCACCAGGCACCCACTATCAACATATTTTTAATGAAAACACAATAATTATACAATTAAATTTGAATTTGCTTTTCCAGAAATGAATCATTACCATTGCCTAAGGTAACAATACATAGTTAATTTTGTTCAGCACCAACAGCCCTTGCTTTCKCTCTTCCTATTCTGCTCCCTGGCTATGGACAAACCTTGTGACAAATACTTAAAATTGCTCAAATCATATGTTACTGTGTGAGTATTTTATAACTGTCAAGACKTGGACAGAAAATTTAATGGAGGTTYTGAAAATTTTTGCTCAGGTTGCTCTGTGATAGATGTGTGTCATATAGAAGTTCTCATTTGTCTATTTTTTCTGACACTTTTTCTGTCCTGAGTCCCTTAAGCCTAATTTGGGACTGCTGCTTGTCAAGGAAGTTTTCTCTTCAATTCCCTGTTTCATTAAAAATACTTCCTRAAGAAAAGGAGAATAGTAAAGCTTTATAGCTGTTCTGAAGATCCTAAAATGATGCAGTTGTTAAACAGATGGTATTGCCTAGGGATCTTCACCTCTTATAAGGAAAGGAACTGGTAAAGGTGAGTGTCCTTGTTCTCGTGGAGTAGTCATGTTCAGGAAGCAGAAGTCCAAATGCTTGTCCCAAAAAGTGTTTTACAGCATCCTGAAAGAATTAKGAGCCACCTTCCCCAAAAGTTTATTGTGACATCAACTCCTCCCCTGCCAAACAGGGGTTCACTGATGGTTTTTTGTATATTGAACCCCATTTTAATATCAAAACTTGTTCATTGCTCATCATGCCCAGTGATTCTTGGTGGCATGACAATCAATTCCTGTTGAAAAGATGCCCTTTTTATTCTTTTCTTTTTTAAATTTTTCTGTTGCTGTAGGTGTTCCATTTAGATTTGCTGGCATTCCCTTAGGATCCTTTCAGGGGTGTTGATCACGTGCTGTTGTCTCTGACACTTTGCAAACTCTGCTGACTGAGAATTTGTTAGCTCAATTATTTTATTCAGCTTTTACGTTGGGAGAATCAACATGTTTTTCATTAAATAGTAATTTACTTATTACATAGAAAATCATCCCTTGAAATACTGAACTTCCACAGACAGACTGGCTTTTCTGATAAAGGTTACATTAGACAGTAGTTTTAATTTAGCCTCTCTATTTATTGATTTGAATTATTTATATTGTAAGAAGTATCTACTTTTTACAAGGAAAATACTTTCTGTRTATTCTGTGATATTGGCAGTTCATTTCCTGATAATATTTGGCCTCATGATCTGCAGTCTAGACATAATATTATAATATGGGTTGAACTCCTCATTCCCTTGAAGGGCCTGGATTCTCTAGGCTTTTAGAAAAACCTCTATGCAGTTTAGAAAAAGAAAAAAAAAACTCTTGCCTTTTTAATTGTTGGAGGTACTTACTATTTCTGTTGTGGTTTTTGCTTTAATATCACATACTTTTATTTGGTTTCATAACATCTCTAATTTATTAAAGGYTTTTATGGAAAATTCCATTTGCATCATGTGTTTAGTAGGAGAAAACTGGAATAGATAAAACTACAACATTAACAATATTCACTAGCAGTACGTTTAATAGTGTGGCAATGTGGAATATCTTTCTTGCCCATATTTTGTTTTAAAGTGGAAAGGTTACTGTACAGTATAATATATCAGTCTTCAATTRTGACACAGAATCAGAGCTCCAACAGTTCCTTTATCATCACTTTGTTAATGTTTCCAGTATTTTGTGCAACTTTGTAGAAGAAAAAAATTACAGCATTTGGAAAGTTTTTTGTGTTTGGTTTGTTGTTTTTTTAATGACTTTTTTTTTAATTTCAAGAATATATCAGGGCAGTTTCTGACCTATGCTGAAATGTCTGCTTATATCTGCTTGAAAAAACTGTAGTAAGATTAAATTTATGGGATTTCTTCTTCTGGAACTACAACCACTGCAAAAGTTAATAGGCAGATTGTTGGCTCTTCCATCCAGAATTTGTGTTACCTTATAGAAGTAGACATTTTCTTAATTTTCAGTAGTACCAGTGTGAGAAAACCTATGGACAAGAGTCCCTCCAATAAACCAAAGAAATAAAAAGACAACAATCCAGCAGCCATATACATCCATAAGTTCTATAGGACCAGGATTTATCTAACAGAAGGYACTCTGTCAGGTTACCACAGGCTGATGTTCCCAGGGGATGCCTGGGCAGAGACAGGGCTGGATGTTTTGTGAACAGTGAAATATTTCTACTTTTCTTAATTTCTTCCCTTCAAAGTGCTCATCTTCYATCAGTGACAGGTTTAGGGAAATTTGCMGGATTTATCAYRRAAAKATGTRACAGGTCGTGGTAGGGGAAATRCATATTTATTTAATACATTTATCTRCTAATTTATACTTATTTATTCCATATTTGTATCTTGCTAGTGAGGGTGTAGTGCTTTTGGTCATATGCTTAACTTGTGCAAGGAAGGGGAGGTAGTCCTCTTAAAAATGCATTTCACATTTTTCACCAAATAACTGCTTTGTTGCCAAGCAGAACTAAGCTGATAAGAGGCATTTGCTGTTCAGTGATTCTGATCTGCCCCTAGTGTTTTGGGTTTTTTTCCTGTACCCATTCTCATGTTCCCATTATTTAGTTTAAATGTTGCTTGTGGCACAGGCCTACTCYGAACTGCAAATGGTATTTTTGTTTTCACTTAGGGAAACTTTAACATTTTCCCTAATACCTCTGCCTTTTTTCATCACCATGGCTACTAAAGTCTGCCAGCCTCTTCTAGGGGGTACAGCCATTATGGTGCATGTCAAACCTGAGTGGTCACAGGAGAAAATTACTGTAATCTGCAGGGTTTTTTCAGTTCTGTCTAATGTTTGACATCAAGGGTGATGACAGGAGAAAAAGGAATCTTATGTGCAGTTACCCTCCCAACAGGTCTGTGTTTCCAGGAAGGACTGAGGAGAGGCTWACAGGGCTAAATGTGMCTGTGAAAATGCTGACTGTCAAAYKGGATCAGCGTATTTCATAACTGGAGCATGAAGGCGTYCACAAAATTGCAATGAATTGCTTTTGCTGTCTCTTTATCTTATGAATTTATTGTGAATAATTGAAGTATAAGTCAAGTCCTGGTTCTTTAAATTATCGTGGTGTAAACATACCTCACTTTCTCTTTTTTATGCAATTATATTTTTTTGTCTCCTAGTTTTGAATGAAGGTTTGAAAATACCACTATAAGCTTGCGACTGTCAGTAGTAATATCAGCAGTTTTCTGTAGTTCAGTTTTTCAAGTCATGGCCTGAAAAGGWTTTTCACAGGCTGGTGTTGAGATACAACTGATCTTTAAAACAACTAAACTCACCGTGGCAGTCTGGAGCCTTTGGCAGGGTATCACAGACATTCCCTGACCCTCCTCCCCTCCCCTTGGCAAAAAATTACACCCAAATAAATAAACCTCTGGAAAAAACATGGAGAAACTGAGAGCATTGTGTAGGTGCCATGTAGACTTAACTCATTTAAGGGGATCCATGGGAGCAATGTCTCTTAAAAAAAGCAATAAAATGCACCCCAGAGAAGGAATGTAACCTGAATTCAGTTTCACTGGTCAGCCACACAGCAGTCAGCTCCTGTTTTGGTGGGCAGGCTGCGACACACTTCAAGGGTTTGACTTTCAGGGTCAGGGGTAGTTTGGCTGCAAACAAGGTGAGATCTGCTGAAGGGATTTGACAGGATTTTATCCCTCACCAAATGCTGTGAGACTGGGGAAGCTTTGGGAAAAGACATCTATCTGCATTGCGATAACATTGGATATTATATCACCAATGCTGTGCAAAAATAGATCTGAAAGGAACTTCAGGATGTCTCCAGCCCATCCTCCTGCCCAAGGCTGGTCCCTTGTCATTCCTGATAAATACTTTTCTGCCCTAATCTCATGGATCTGCAGTGACAGAGATGCACCAGCTTCCCTGGGCGGTCTATTGCACCCTTCACCATACTCCTGGTTTTTCCTGGTGCTTGGTCTGAACTTTCTGTGCAGTGATTTTAGCCCATTAGTTTTAGTCCTTTCCACACTGGCGAGGCAGAGAAGATTATTCCCACTCTTTGCAGAATCCTTTTATGTTACTCCTTATGAGCACTGTGAGCACCTTAAACAGCCCGGGGTGCAGGGGGCTGCTGTTGTGGATGCTGTCCCCTGTGCAGAGAAGCAGGAGGTAGCTTTCAGGGCGATGAGATGATGGGTGCCCGTTCTCAGTGTGGAACAGAGAGCCAGGATTGTCACTGTGTCCCCATTATTGGGCTGACACACCTGCATGTGAGYGCCACTGTCACAGCCAGGCTGAGCAGGACAATTGTACCACAGTGACTTGGGCCCATTGCATCTCAAGCTGCTTTTATGCCCTTGATAAATGTACAGAGAGGCTCTTTTAGCAAGGTCAGAGGTCTGGCTTTCCCCAGACGARGGATCTGTCCCAGAAGCAGTTCCTAATCGCACTTCCTGGGCTGATGCTGTCCCAGTATCTGATTACACTTTGGCTGTGCTGAAAGCACTGGAAAGAATGAGGAGACACTAAAACCAGCCAAGAAGGATGTCAGAATATTCACTAAACTACAGGCTGCAGCCACAAACTCTCCCAAATCTCCTGTGTTATTTTAGCAGCTCAGAGGAGTGTATTCACAGAAATGCAGGAGCTGTCAGTCCACTGGCACGCAGGGGCTGAACAGCAAATCCCATTTCTCTGCTTCCAGCTGTGAAGCTGTCCAGCTCCTTGTTTGTTGGCTTGTATTGATAAGCAGTG